CCAAATGCCTAGTATCAAGAATGAAAAAGGTTGGGGCAGCTAGGTGGTGCAGTGGATAGAGCTCCAGCCTTGGAGTCAAGAGGACCTGAGTTCAAATCCGGCCTCAGACACTTGACATGTACTAGCTATGTGACCCTGGGCAAGTCACTTAACCCCGATTGCCTCACCAAAAAGCAAAAAAAAAAAAAAAAAGAATGAAAAAGGTGAATCTACCACCAAGGAAGAGGAAATTAAAACAATAATTAGGAACTATTTTGCCCAACTGTATGCCAATGAATTTGACAATCTTAGTGAAATGGATACATATTTACAAAAATATAAATTGCCCAGATTAACAGAAGAGGAAGTAAAATACTTAAATAACCCTATCTCAGAAAAAGAAATTGAACAAGCCATTGATGAACTTCCTAGGAAAAAATCTCCAGGGCCAGATGGATTTACAAGCAAATTCTATCAAACATTTAAAGAACAATTAATTCCAATACTATATAGACTATTTGGGAAAATAGGTGAAGAAGGAGTCTTACCAAATTCTTTTTATGATAAAAATATGGCGCTGATACCTAAACCAGAAAGAGTCAAAACAGAGAAAGAAAATTATAGACCAATTTCTCTAATGAATATAGATGCAAAAATTTTAAACAAAATATTAGCAAATAGATTACAGCAACTTATCAGAAATATAATACACTATGACCAGGTAGGATTTCTACCCAGAAGGCGGGGCTAGTTCAATATTAGGAAAACTATCAGCATATTGATCATATCAACACCAAAACTAACAGAAAACACATGATCATCTTAACAGATGCAGAAAAAGTTTTTGACAAAATACAACACCTATTCCTATTAAAAAGACTAGAGAGCATAGGTATAAATGGAATCTTCCTTAAAATAATAAATAGCATTTACCTAAAATCTTCAGTAAGTATTATATGTAATGGGGACAAGCTAGAAGCATTTCCAGTAAGATTAAGGGTGAAACAAGGATGTCCATTATCACTACTGCTGTTCAATATCGTACTGGAAACGTCAGCTTTAGCAATAAGAGAAGAAAAAGAAATTGAAGGTATTAGAATAGGCCATAAAGAAACAAAGCTATCACTCTGTGCAGATGACATGATGATATACTTAGAGAATCCTAGAGAATCAAGTAAAAAACTACCTGAAATAATAAACAACTTTAGCAAAGTTGTAGGCTATAAAATAAACCCACACAAATCATCAGCATTTCTATATATTACCAAGAAAGCCCAACAGCAAGAGATAGAAAGAGAAATTCCATTTAAACTTACTGTAGACATTATAAAATATTTAGGAGTGTACCTCCTGAAACAAACCCAGGAACTATATGAACACAATTACAAAACACCTTTCACACAAATAAAGTCAGATCTAAATAATTGGAAAAACATCCGTCGCTCATGGGAAGGCCGAGCTAATACAATAAAAATGACAATTCTACCTAAGCTAATTTACTTATTCAGTGCCATACCAATCAAACTACCAAAAAATTATTTTATAGTTAGAAAAAATAATAACAAGATTCATTTGGAAGAACAAAAGGTCCAGAATATCAAGGGAACTAATGAAAAGAAATGCAGGGGAAGGTGGCCTAGCCATTCCAGATCTTAAATTGTATTATAAAGCAGCAATCATCAAAACTGCTTGGTACTGGCTAAGAAATAGAGTGGTGGATCAGTGGAATAGGTTAAATATGCAAGACACAGCAGTCAATGACTATAGTAATCTATTATTTGATAAACCCAAAGACCCCAGCTTCTTGGATAAGAACCCACTCTTTGAAAAAAACTGCTGGGAAAACTGGAAAAGAGTATGGCAGAAACTAGGCATAGACCAAAATCTTACACCATATACCGAAATAAAGTCAAAATGGGTTCATGATTTAGATATAAAGGCTGATCCTATAAGCAAACTGGGAGAACAAGGAATAGTTTACCTATCAGATCTACGGAGAACAAAAGAATTCATGACTAAACAGGAGATAGAGAACGTTACAAAAATCAAAATGGATAGCTTTGATTACTTTAAATTGAAAAGTTTTTGCACAAACAAAGCCAATGCAACTAATATTAGAAGGAAGGTGGAAAATTGGGAAAGAATTTTTACAACTAATCTTTCTGATAAGGGCCTCATTTCTAAAATATATAGAGAATTAAGTAAAATTTATAAGAATGCAAGTCATTCCCCAATTGATAAATGGTCAAAGGATATGAACAGACAGTTCTCAGATGAAGAAATTAAAGCCATCTATAGTCATATGAAAAAAATGCTCTAAATCACTATTAATTAGAGAAATGCAAATCAAAACAACTCTGAGGTACCACATCACACTTATCAGATTGGTCAACATGACAAAACAGGAAAATGATAAATGTTGGAGAAGATGTGGGAAAATTGGAACATTAATGCATTGTTGGTGGAGTTGTGAAATGATCCAACCATTTTGGAGAGCAGTTTGGAACTGTGCCCAAAGGACTATAAAAATGTGCATACCCTTTGACCCAGCAATAGCAGTTCTAGGGCTATATCCCAAAGAGATCATACAAATGGGAAAAGGACCCATATGTACAAAAATATTCATAGCAGCTCTTTTTGTGGTGGCAAAGAATTGGAAATTGAGAAGACGCCCATCAATTGGGGAATGGCTGAGCAAGTTGTGGTATATGAATGTAATGGAATACTATTGTTCTATAAGAAATGATGAACAGGCTGACTTCAGAAAAACCTGGAAAGACTTGTATGGTCTGATGCTGAGTGAAGTGAGCAGAACCAAGAGAACGTTGTACACAATAACAGCCATATTGTGCGATGACTAATATTGATAAACTTAACCCTTCTGAGCAATACAAGGATTAAGACATCTCCAAAGACCTCGTGATGGAAAATGCTATCCATACCCAAAGAAAGAACTATGGAATTTGAATGCAGATCAAAGCATACTATTTGCTATTTTTTTTCCTCTTCTGTTGAGTTTTGTTTCCTCTTTCTGGTGGTTCTTCCTATTGGTTCTAATTTTTACTTACAACATCACTAATCTGAAAATGTTTAATAAAATGTATATATATAGCCTATATCAGATTGCGTGCTGTCTTGGGGAGGGTGGTGGGGAGGAAGGGGGAGAAAAATTTTAAACTCAAAAGCATATGGAAGTGATTGTTGATAAATCAAAATAAATTAATAAAAAGAAATTTAAAAAAAGAAAAAGGCCTCTGCCCTCAAGGAGTCCACAACCTAATAGGGGAAGCACAATACACAAAAAGAAGCTAATAATGGGGTTGGGGGCCACCAAGGGTATCTTGTAGGGTATCTTGATTTTTGTGAAGTGGAAACTAAGCAAAGCTGGTGGTGGAAAATGAAGAGGAAAACAAATTCTTGTTTAGTGTCTTTAATTGCAGCAGCAGAAGCCAAAGTAGTTCAGCAGGCTGGAGGGCCCCATTGTATTTTCCTGTTTCATGGGCTGCCCAGAGTAGAGGATGAGAAAAAGTACCGCACAATCTAGTCTTGGGCTCACGTGCTCCTGGCAAATGAACTTTTTCCTTTTTTGGCCACTGGCTTTATATAGAAATGGCAGGGGGTTCTTGGGATTCTGGGCCATTTTGCATGTTCAAGCTACTGTGTCCCTTTCACTGGCCTTGTTTGTATAGAAATGGCAGGGAGCTTCATGGGGCTGGGGCTATTTAGCACATTCGTTTCGTTGTCACTCAAATCCAATTCAATGCAGGTCATATCATCATTTCCCTGATATCATGGTTCTCTTTGAGAAAGAAGGACAAACCATAACACAACAACCTTGATGGCTACCCTACTAGACTTCTGCCCAGAGTCTCTGTGTTGTTGTGTAGATGTTCGTGACAGAACTGGCAAGCTCTCCAGTTACATGGGCTGAAGATGAGTCAGCAAACAGAGGAATGAGCTAAACGACCCCCCAACTTGAAGCCCCTCTGCTTCTGCTCCTAGAAGGCCAGAGGTGGGGGCACAGGGCTCTGTCTTGCAAGGGCATGTGGTCAAGTATGACCAACGGGGTAGGGGCTGAGTGGCTGTCAGTTCCACAGGCCCAGGCAGTTGCCTTCCAGGGGACAGTGGGAGGTAGTCACATGGTTGAGACTTGAAGGAGGCCTCAGGGGCCCCTAAAGAATCTGCTGGAGAACCCTGGTTCTTTCAGCATTATTTATTTTGCTATGTATTTTGGTGAGGTTTATCCTTTTTTTGGATGCTTATTAAGTTCTGAGGGGTAAAAATACATAAAAGGCCTCATGGTTTTCACTGGAAACGAGGAAATCAAGGCTTGGCTGCCCTGTCCCAGGTGTCAAACCCAGGGGGCCCACACTAGAGGGTGTCCAAAATGTCATTGGGCAGTGCCTCACACAATAAGTAAAAATTTGAGAAAACAGAGGCCACGCAAACATGTGGTTTTCTTTCTTTCTTTTTTTTTTCTTCGGTTAAACATGTGGTTTTCTAAGGCACTAAGCTACCACTGAGATCCCTAGGCACATTTAGCGGCCCTTTTCTCTTGGGCCTACAGCGCCTAGGGGCGTGGCCCCGCCTCCTCGGCTGCCGGCCCCGCCTCCTCGGCTGCCGGCCCCGCCTCCTCGGCTGCCGGCCCCGCCTCCTCGGCTGCCGGTCCCGCCTCCTCGGCTGCCGGCCCCGCCCTCCACCGCCCCTGAGTTTAGGCCCTGTCGCCCCCGCCCAGCCCAGACTCACCCCTTCAAGCCTCCAAGCCCCGCCCTCCCACCCGCCGGCTCCGCCCTCTGCCGCCCCTGGGCTTGGGCCCAGTCGCCCCCAGCCAGCCTTGCCCCGCCCCCTCGGCTGCCGGGCCACGCCCAGACCACGCCTCGGCGGTCATTTCCCGTCGCGGTTGCCGTCGCCCGCCGTCGCCCGCCGTCGCCCGCCGTCGCCGTTTCGCTCGCTCGCCGAGGTGCAATCGCCGATCTCCGTACTGACTGGTAAGCGCCTCGGCCCCTGGCCTCTCTTGCCTGGGCGGGCCGTGCGGCCGGGCTGCCCCGAGGCTCCTCGAAGTGCTGCAGCTCACTCGCTCCCGTCCCGTCGGGCCTCCCCTTTAGGTGTCCCCAATGGAGGACTACCGCCGCCTCTCCGACCAGGAGCTCGTCCGCATGCTCAAGCTCTACAAGATCCCGCACGGGCCCATAGTGGGTGAGTGTGGAGAAGGGGGGGATCGGCGAGGGGGGGGAGGGCAGAGGAAGAGGGCGCAGGGAAGAGGAGGGGAGGAGATCGGGGAGGGAACAGGGAGAGGGAGGGGGAAACATCTCCATCCCTCCTTGAGCCTAGGGGGCGTGGTAGGGCACTGAGTAGGTGAGGCAGGCATTGAAGCCAGGCCGCTGGCCTGGTACAGTCCACCCTGCCCCCTCCCCCCAATCTCCATTAACTCTCCCTCTTCCCCTCTATGTAAAATGAGGGCTCGCTAGGCCCTTTCTAGTGGTGACCATGCCTAAGAACCCAACCCCCTGATCCTTAGCCTTTGAAGCCTAACGGGATTGGGTGGTGGTCGACACATACATAGTCAGAGCTTGTGATCTCCTGGGGGATTGGTGGGAGTCCTGTGATTCTCCTCCCACATAGAGAGGCAGGGCCTGTGGGCATACCTCCCCACCATCCCCACCCAGGCCCCCTGAGCTCCGAAGGCCATTCAAAGGCTGAGCTAACTAACTAGTGCTTGTAGGAAGAACCCCTCAAAGCTTGCGGGCTGCTTCTGGGACCTGTGGGAACATTCACCTGTCTAACCATGAATCCAGGTTCAACCCGAAAACTGTATGAAAAGAAAATCTATGAATATGAAAGTCAGAGAACCAAGCTTTCCCCTGGGACTGTCAGCTCTTACCACTATCCAGGTGAGGAGGAAGGGTGGGGTCCAGTTCTGCTAAAGCAGAAATGAACTGGTCCTCCAGTTGTTGGGGAGTGCAGCAAAGAAAGGTGACCTCTCTCACCAAGTATCTTTCTGTTGTGCCACAGAGGATTTTGAGGGTGAAGCTTATGGTTCCAGACAGGATGAAGATGAAGACATGGAAGAAGGTGAGTATGGTTCCTGTATCCAAGGAGGGTTAAGGCTCACCCTAGGGAGTGGTAGGGCCTGGCCTGGCTTGCTGTTGCCCTTCCCCATCTGCTTGAAGTGTACTTGTGGGGTGGGGTTCAGGAGCAGAATGGGGCTGCTTGGAGGCAAAGGGCATGGTTGATCTCCGACTCCCTGACGTTCTCTGCAGCTGGAAGCCAGTACTTTTGGGCTAGACCTGCTCCCAAGAAAGGCCCCAGGGGCTCTCTTTGATAAAGGTGAGGGAGGAGACCTATGATTTTGGCTGATCCCTGTAGTAGTGTACCTGTCCATCTGGGCTGGGTTGGCTTTTGTAATCCTTATTGTTCATATGGACATCCTTTCCTCCCAGTCAAATTGCTTGCCCATTCATTCATGATCTCATTTATGGATTAGCCCCAACAGGTAGTCTGGGAGGCAAGGATGACTAATTATTTCACAGTTGGAGGCAACTCACTTGGGGCCTGACCTTGGCAGCTTGTATGGCTATTCTAAGCCCAGGCCTGGAGCCCTTGGCCTCCAACGTTTATATAGTGCTTACTATGTGCCAGGCACTGTGCTCAGCACTTTACAAATATTATTCTTTGGTCCTCACAGCAACCCTGGGAGTATAGGTGCTATTATTATCCCCACTTAACAGAATAGAAAGTAAGGCAGGCGGTAGTGAAGTGACTTGCCCAGGGTCAGAGCTAGTGAGTGTTTGAGGCCAGATTTGATCTCAGGTCTTCCTGCCTCCAGTGCCCAGGTGGGTATTGCCCCACCTAGCTGCTTCTACCATAGCCTTGGTCTCTGGCTCTCTCTCTCTTCCTTCCTCTGTGACCCTTCCAGTTGACTATGACAATTACTATGAAGAGAGTTACTCAACTACCAAGACTTATGGGGAGGCTGATACTGCAGCCATCCCAGTAGCCAAGGCCAGGACCAACTTCCAGGAGCCCCAGCCCTCCACAAGCTACAGCAGTGACAGTGTCAAGGCTCCTACCTACCACATGCGCCAGCGGGTAAGTGCCAGCCCCTGCCCCAGTCCCCACCATCTCAGGTGCCAAAGTCAGCTAACCAATCAGCCTCCCACACCCGCTATTAAATGATGAGGGGCTCGACTGTGATGCCATTGGTATTGGAGCAAATTCTTAGATGAGGAAGCCCCCTGTGCTACTGCACACCAGCATCATAGCTTTAGCAAGTTGCCTAGAGCCCTCTAGGCCCCATGTGTCAGAGGCAGTAGGACTTGAAGCCAGCTTTTCCTTGTTCTGAGGCTGGCTTGCTGTCCATGACACCAGAGGTATCCAGCCCAGGCCCGTGGACGGCCAGCAAAACTCCTAATTGTACTCTGAACTCAATGAAACTGTCGCTGGGAACCGTTGAAGAGAATGAATGAAAATCCACTATACCATAGGCAATGTGAATTTGTGGTTTTCAAAGTCAGTGCCGCAGCAGGAATCCATTTCTAGAATTTGACCCCAATGCACTGCCCCCTGCCCCCTCTCTAATAATAACAGGAACGATGATGACAAGGAGGAGCTGATGTTTCTGAAGCATGTTCAAGTTTGCCACGTGATATCATGCATACATACTCTTTTTTTAGCTAGAATTCTCCAGAGGGCCCTTAAGACAGGGCCTAACTCTAATTGCCACTGATCCCTTTCCCTGGGTAGCATGTAGGCATGAAACAAGGTTTGGAGTGGGGGGGGCTAGTTTCAAGAGGTGCTGCCTGCTTGACCAGGGGCCCCTTCAGTCCTCTTCCTCACCTCAGCTCTTGGTCGAAAGACCTACCTCAAGATTTCTCAGCCAACCAACCACATAGAAGAGCAGAACCCCCTGTTTGGGGGAATTATAGATTTAGAGGCAGAAGCACTTTAGAGATAGAACATGATGTAGTCCAACTTGCTCATTTTACAGAAGAGGAATATGAGGCCTTGAGAGATTAAGGGACTCTCCAGGTTGCATGATAAGCAACAGAGCTTGGATTTAAACACCCTTCCAGCATTCTTTGCTGTCTACCTCTCTGCCTCTGGGTATTTTGAACCGCTCATCTCCAGTTCTCCCAGGGGCCCAAGGCAGGGCAGAGAGCTGATTTGGGGAATAAGAAGATCACCCTAAGTTAATCTAGGATTTGCTGAGCACCCCCCCCCCCCCCCCCCCCAGGCAGGACTCCTGAACCTAGGTTTTCCTTATTCTGAGACTCTGGCCTCAACAGAGGGCTGTGAAAAGAGAACAAGTTGGCTAAGTCCTTCCATTAGCTGACTCCCAGCCTGGCTAGGGAAGGAGTCTGAGACTTAAGACTCTAGCCTACACCAGGATAGCTGGCCCTGGAATCAGGTAGGGGTGTGCCATACCTGATGCCAAGGTCATTGAGTACAGGGCCAAGGAGACGACTGATAGGGGTCAGGGGGTTGGCCCTTCCCCATTCATCCCCTGCTTTTGGTAGATCAGTGCTGAGTGCTGGTCCCTGCCTCTGTTACCTTATTTGCTTCCTGTCTGCCCAGTCAAGGCTTGGGGTACGGGGCAGGGGGGACCCTATATACTTTTGTTCTTAGGAGGCAGGGGCTTGGAGGAAAACTCAGCAGAGAAATGCCATCTGCCTCCTTATTTGAGCAGAAGATAGGACAGCTGCAGAGCAGTTAGCACTGTCCTATTGGCGGGGGGCCCATGGAGAGAGAGAATGAGTCTGTGGGGGGCAGGGCACCAGTTCCTCCACCCCCACAAGCAACAGGCCAGCAAGTGGCTGGTTACCTGATAGGTCTGACCCAGGAGGCAGCTGATCCTCTCCATAGCAGGGCATGATGGGTGGGTGGCAAGTCAGAATTCTCATCAGCAGGTACAATGATGGCCCTGGTGCCAGGGAGACTGACCCTGCCTTGTTTCTCTGCCTCGTTACAGATAAGAGAGAATATTCTCTACCCCTTAGCCCAGGAGGAGAACATAGACAGGTAAGTGAAGGGGACAGTGCCCTGCCATCCTTTCACCCTGCCACTCACTCTGTAGTGGCTTCGATCCCATGTCTCACCATTGGCACTAGCAAGATTGAGAAATGGGGGTGGGGCTGCCCATTGTTCATTCAGCAGATGTTCCTGGAACAAACACCAAAAGGGTGCACAGCTTCTTGGCAGAGGTGAAAACAGCCAGTCCTGGGACATAGGCCCAACAGTGAATGAGAGGAGGGGCATGAGGGAGGTACAGGCAAAGCATTTGGGTTCAGAGGAAAGCAAACTCACTTCCAGCAGGGGATAGGGGTGGGGGAGGCTCCCTGGAGGAGGGGGCTTGTGATCTGGCTCTTGAAGACCAGGAAGTATTTGGCCAGACCAAGCCAGGGGAGAGGGCATTTCAAGGGAAAAGACGCTGTGGGCTAAGGGGTGCTGTATGTGTTCAGAGGGGAATGGAGTACTAGAGGCCAAGGAATGGGACCTCAGCACTGGGGAACCATGGCCATTGGGGGAGGCTGTTGCTGAGGAAACTGCTTCTGAGACAGCTGGGGCCTTGGACTGGGGGCAGTGCTCATGGAGAGGAGGCCATGCATTGGAGGTGTGGGGGCGGGCTAAGGTGAAGGCTGAGTCTTTCTGATACATCCCCTCCCCCTCTTGATAGTGACTCAGCCTACTTCCACCGAGACAGCAATGCCTACCAGAGTGTTTCTCACTACCGATCCAGTGCTGGTGCAAGCCCTGACTCGGCCTTCTCTTCCAGCCCAGTGATTTCTTCTTCCTTTTCTTCCTCCACCCCAGTTTCCTCAGCTTCCCCAAACTTCCAATGGTACTCCTTCCCTTCGGAGGTGGAAGCCCGCCAGGCTATTAGACCTGACCAAGGCCCTGGGGCTGAGCTCAGAAAGAGTGGTAGAATGGTGCCCCTTTGGGTCCAGTTCCTTCTCTTCATTGGTTTTGCTCTCTTTCTGGCCTTTTTGTACTATTTCATGCAGGTAGATGATGACAACCCCTTCCGTCTCCACCCCTGAAGGCCCCTTCTGGGCCCTGGGAACAGGTGGAGTCCTGGTCCCATTTTGACCTTCTCTGCCTCTCACCCTTACTTTCTAGCCTCCCTTCTGGGGTGATTGGGGGGCACAGGGATATCTTCCTGTTCTTGTTTGCTGTAGGCCCTGTTGAGAGTGCCACTATGGCCCATTTGGTTTCTCCAGGTCGTACCCATAGTGCCTTGTTGTTTGGCTGCATTTTAAGCCTTTTGTTGGATTGATTGGAAAAGAGTGTTCATATTTGTTTAAATGTTGGTTTCTGGAAAAGGAGTTGCCCTGGCCCAGCACAGATATGTCCCCTGCCCCCAATCACATTTGGGCAGACAGATCGGGGGTGTCTTCTAGGAATCCTTTCCTCGAAGCAAGCTGTGCTACAGCTCCCAGGCTAGACTTCCCCTTGGAACTCACTCCTGAGGTCAGGGGGAGTGGTATCCAAATACCATAGTGTTCTTGAGGGCATTGCTCTTTGGCACCTTATTTAGTCTCCATCTCACCTGATACCTTTGTAGACCTTCTCCCACCCCAGCAATGCCATTGCTCCCCCTGCATCCCTGCCCTCCATACGAGGGCAGGACGACTGACCCTTCCTCCTCTTGGATATCTCAGACCTGGTGGAGAAGTGAGACTTTCAACAAAACTGCCAACCATCCTTTCCTTGACTTTGTTCTCATACACTTCGTGAAATAAAGGATTTGTTTATTTTTCAAAACCGTTGCGTTTTTTCTTGGGGGAAGCGGGCTAGGGAGATGCAGCCATCCCCAAGACCTGAGGAGGGTGAGGGGCTGGGCAGAGGAGGATGCTACAGGTAGTGTCAGGGGCTTGGGGGCTGGGGAGGTGGCTGGTGGCGTAGGCGCTCTCGGATCCTCAGGAACTCCAGCTGCTCATCTTGGCTCTTCCTCCTTGTTTCTTCCTGTTGCTTCTTGGCAAAGAGAGAGGGAGAAGGCCAAGCTTTTCCATGTAACCCTTCACAATATAAGATGTTAGGAGGGAGAGGGTGGGCCCTCACTCACAGCATCATTTCACAGAAGAGAAAATGGGCCCTCAAAAAGGCAGTGACTTGCCCGAGATTCCACATTAGTACAGATCCAATTGGGATATTTCTGCTCTCTTTAAGTACCGAGATCCATGTACCACTCTGAGCTGAATGTCCACTCCCTAGACCTAGCCTCAGATCAGCCTGGATTCCCCTACCTTCTGTTGCCTCTGTTGCCGATGATGAAGTGCCTCCTGCAGAGGGGTGGGCTCGGGTCCAGGCCCAGTACCTGGTCGGCCTTGCCTCTTCTCTAGTACACAAAGGAGTTCAGGCCTGCTCCGGAGGCTCAGGCCCCTGGGAAGAGGGGGCGTGGGAAGTTGGGAGTGGGATGAGCTCTGGCAATTGGTATTAGATGCTCCTTGACTTGACATCAAATTGGGCCCAAATCCCAGCCTGAGGGCTCCCTAGAGGTCAGGCCATTTCTCTTACTCATACATGAGTGGGACCAAAGGGGAAGGATTTCCACCCTCTGTGCCCCACCCTATGCCACCCTCTCCCACCATTTGCCTATGTGGGAAGGGTCCTTAGCTCCTTTACTTCCTGTGGGTCAGCAACAGCTCCCTGTGCAGTGCTTGGTGGGTGTGACTGGGGTTAGGAGGCAGGCAACAGAGTCCTCGGAAGGCAGCAGGTGTAGGTATGGCCTCCCCTGGAGTCCTGTCAGCTGGAAGGCAAAGCAGGGACTATTGGTCTAAATCAGGACTTCTCAAACTTTTTCTACTCATCCCTATTAGCACTTCTTAAACCCACAGTTTAAGAAGCACTAGTCTAAATGCTTCCAGCCTGATGAAGGGGCAGAATGTAGTTAACTTAGGTCCCTGGGGGTTCACTCCACTGTTGGGTAGGCAAGAGGGGAAGGATACAGTCCCTGTCCTGGGAAACCTCTAGTCTGGCTGAGAAATTGAACCTTCACACCTGGCAAAGGTAGATTCGTACAGTGAGGCCTTTGGGCATACCACTGGGGGCTTTATGGAGCCGGCACTTGAGCTGGGCCTAGAAAAATTAGACAAGGGGGAAGGCATTCTTGGAGTGCAGCATAGGAGGCAGAGATGATGGAGACTGGCCCACTGCTATAAGGGCAAGCTGGGGCCCAGTGTGAGGTGTGGCAGTGAAGAAGAATTGGGGCCACACTGTGGAGGGCCACGTAGGCCAGGTGGAGCTTGCATTGTCTCAATCACAGAGAAGAAAATCGACTTTTGACATTTCTAGCCCAGTAAAGGGCTTAGGGCAAGAGTGAGTCACTGAGAACTTCTGAGCCCAGATGTGGCAGTAGGGAGGTCACTGAGGATGTGCAGGATGGAAGGACAGGCGAGAGGAGACTCCAAGCAGGGAGACTGACTAGGAGACTATTACAGTCATCCAGCTGATTGGTGTGGAAAGCTTAAACTGGGCTGGCAGTTGAGGCTATAAAGAGGAGGGAGTGGAAGAGAAAAAGGATCACTCAACTGATAGGATGCTCATCTTCCAAGTTTGGGAGGGCAAGGGTACTGCTCACCATGGGAGGAAGTCGATGGGGTCTCAGTCAGCCCATGGGAAGGTCTCAATGAAGCCAAGACTTGGCCTTTTGCCCAGATCCACAGGGCCCGAGACAAGCTAGGCAACAAAGGGAAAGGAGGTAAGATTTGACTGTACATACCCTCTTCTCCCCTCCTTTCCCCCACCCTCTGTTTCCTATGTGTCCAACAACCCTTGGCCTCTTTCCCCATCCCAGTAGTAGGCAGGGTTGAGATCAGTTCCCAAGGTGGAAGAAATGGGGCCAAAGCCAGAAAGTGTGAGTGTCCAGGGGCTGGCCAATACAATGTCAAGGTCTCCATTCTGGACTTCAGCTTCTCTGGCTGAAGCCTACTTGGCTCACCTCAATGTTGTGCTAGGAGGAGGGAGGAGAGGTGGATTGGGAAATGCTTGGAGATGGACATCCTTGGTGACCAACCTGAGAAAGGGGAGTCAAGGGAACAATGGTAGGAGCATCCTGGTCTTGCCCATATGGCTCCCTGAGCAGGGGACCTTCACTCAGCTGAGCCACACATAACACTTGTGAGTGTGCATATGAGAGTGTGTGTGTGTGTGTATGTATGTGAGTGATCTCACACAGACACACACACACACACACACACACACACACACACACACACACAAACTCCTGTGTACCCTCCCTCATACCTGACTCAATTGAGTCTTCATCTCAGTTTGGCTCCATGGAGCCTCTTTAAGGAAGCCATCTCTGCCCCTCTGCCCTCATCCCCCTCAGCCCATTCAGCACTATGCTTTCCCTAACTAAGGTCTAGAGCTCTGTACATCTGACCTTAGTAGGTCCTTATCTCCGAGTCCTATTTCCCTCCTTAGCCTGGGAATAGGGAAGAGGCTCTAGGCTGTTATCCATTTGGAGGGAGGGCAGGGATATCCCAACACTTACCTGTCCCCCAGCGGGGATGCAATGGGCCTGTTTCCTTTGGGGATTGAGGGACCTACTGCTTGTGTCCTGGCTGCAGATTGAGATGCCTGGTGGAGAGAAGGCTTTGTGAGCTTGGGCTGCTGGGGGTTCCCCTGCGAGGCTGGACAGACAGACTGTCTCGTAGTCTTCTCCATCCTAGAGGAGCAAGCATCCAAGGTGGCCCCAGGAAAAAGAGAAGAGGCTGTCGACAGCTGGGAGAAAGTGACTCCTGGCCACCTGGCAGTAACCGGAGCTGCCTCCAGGAGCTTCCTCTCCGGGAGGGGGTGGGGAGAGGGGAGCCCACTCTCATCTCTGCAACTCTAGCTGGAGGCAAGGTTGCTACATGGAAAGGCAAGCTTTCAAACCTGGGCAAGTAGAGGGACGAGGGTTCACTTGGTAGAAGCCCCCAGCCCCAGGCCAAGAATAACCAGTTCCAGGGATGGCCATAAACACAACTGGAAATTGCCAGTTTGTCTTTGGGGTATTGAGTGTGCCCTTTCAGGGACCTCCAGCTCCAAAGCTCAAGACCTCAGAGTTGGAGGGAACTTCTTTCTGTGTGTGGAATGCTTCTTAGCCTTCCTTCAGAATGTTCTGCCAGGCTCTAGTATGGTACTGCTGCTGCCTCCTTTAGGAACTCCATCCTCTTAGCTGTTGGGGACTGCTCCCAGCTCCCCAGAACTTACCTTGTATTTATTTGGCGTCTAAAACTTATTCACGGATATGTTGGCTCCCCCAATAGACTGTCAGCTGCCAGAGGGCAAGAACAGCTTCATTTCTGGCTTAGTACACTTTGTACAGTGCCTGGCACATAGTAGGCACAATAGATAGAGCATTGGGCCTGGAGTCAGAAAGACGAGTTCAGATATGACCTCAGTAACTTCCTAGCTCTGTAATACTGGATAAGTCACTTCACCTCTGCCTAAGTTTCCTCAACTGTAAAATGAGGATCATAATAGAACCTACTTCCCAGAGTCGTGAGGATCAAATGAAGTAATATTTGTAGAGTGCATTGCTATAAATGCTAGCTATCCTCAGCATCCTCATCAGGCCTTTACTATATGTATATGTACACACACACACACACACACACACACACACACACACACATGTTGATTGATTGTAAGTAATCTAATCCAAACATGTTTTACAAGAATCCCTTCTACAGCATTGCCACCAAGTAGGCAAACTTTGCTGAGTTCCGGAAGGGGCTAGTAGTTTACCAAAGGTCTGCTAGGTGGCGCTGCAGTGGTTAGAACACCTGGCCTAGAGTTAGGAAGACTCATTTTCCTGAGTTCAAATATGGCCTCAAACACTTACTAGCTGTGTGACCCTGGACAAGTCACTTCACCCTGTTTGCCTCGTTTTCCTCATCTGTAAAAATGAGCTGGAGAAGGAAATGGCAAACCACTCCAGTATCTTTGCCAAGAAAACCCCTAATGGGGTCACAAAGAGTCAGACACGACTGAAAAATGACTGAACAAATTAGTCTACCTAAAGCCCTCCTAGGTAGCTAAAGGACATTACAATTCTTTGGCCTTGCTTGTCTCTGGCAGCCGCCTCCTTTCTTATGCTGGCTGCTCATCTCAGTACTTTAGTGGCAGCTGGACCACATGTGAGAACCACATCGCTGAAAGGAAGAAAATGCCTAAATGGTGGCAAGGAAGATGCAGCCATGCCACCCTGAGCAAAGCCAAGCCAGTCCAATTCAATCCAATCAGTATCATTTTTTTGGGTAACTTTTAAAATATATTTTAAACTTAAAAACAAAACAAGAAAAGGAAAACAAAATTGCCATGTACACAGTATACCATAAATTTCCATTTCATGAAAACCTATATAATAAATACTACACATTGTTTTCAAAGCTGCCCAACTTTTCTTTGCTTCCCTGTAAGTTTTCTTTTGTTTTCTGCTGTGTACTTTTTACTTTATTTCCCCTCCCCCCTCAAAAAAGAAGGCTACAATTAAACACGGATAAACACACACACATATGTACATATATATATCTATAAACATATACATATATACACATATACACTCATACACATATATGTAAGAACATACTATACATATTTCCATTTCTCTTTCTCTGAAGGTGGATAGCATCTTCCTTCATATGTCCAAATCTTTTCATGTTTTTCTAAGTCAACCAGCTCCTCATTTTCTACCACACAGCAATATTCCAACCCAGTCACATCCTGAGAGATTGTCAGTGAAAGTTTTTCCCCCAATTTTTGCATTCCTTCTA